GGACTTCACTGAAAATAAAATAAAATAAAATAAAAAATAAATAAAAATAAAATAAAATAAAACAAAAATAAAAGTTAGTACGACATGAGGTGCTAAGGCAGCCCATGCACATCGTTGCTAACCTGCTGGCTCACCTTCCAGTGGGGCAGTGGCCAGGTGTGGAGCTCCTTCAGCAACTGCTAGACCTTCTTCTTCAGTGTCTCTGAGTCTTGGGCCAGATGCCTGTGCAGTACCATGCCTCCTGCCTCATCAGTGTAGGTGGTAAGAGACAGATGGCACAGTCTAGTTTATGTTCAGGGGATCCAGTTTGTCTTAGTGGGTTCCATTTTGACCCTGCTCGTCCCTAGTTCATGTCCAGCTTTCCTGCTTTAACTGTAAGCCCTATCAATTACAGCAATTTTAGGTCCAACCCCCACTCCCCACCCCTCACCCCCCTGGCACAGAGGCAACTTTGCTAGCTCCCACAATTTCATAAGGCCTAATTCCTAAATTAAATCTCTTATTGCATATGACTTATACTGATTTTGCCTTTCTCTGGTCAAACTCTAAAACAGAAATAATTCCAGGAGAGCCCAATATTAATAATGGGTTATCTGAATTTGATTTGATTAAAGGTGCTGATGACCAGCTGTCAATGTGACACTGGATGTCCATGGCATGAATCAGCCAAAACACTTTCTTAATATCTCACTTGTGGACACCTGTAATCAATAGCTAAAGAATCAAGGTTTTTGCTAAGTCATCGAAATATTCTGCTTCCATAGAATATTTCAGTGAAAATAAGACATTCAGTGGAGTTGGTTGGTTTCTCCTAATTACGCCTAACTTGGGAAAAGGAAATGATAAGCTTAGGGCTTTAAAATCTAAGTTCGAGATGAGATAAAGGACCAGAAAGTTTATATGACTGTCTTCCAGTTTCTCCTAGGCTATAATTTCTAAAAACCAAACCCCAAATCTAATCCTGAATGCAACTGAATTCCCAATCCTGCAGGTCTCATGTTAAAGGTAGAGAATTTTATTTTTTTTTTTTTTTTTTTTTTTTTTTTTTTTTTTTTTTTTTTTTTTTAAATATATTTTATTGATTTTATACAGAGAGGAAGGGAGAGAGATAGAGAGTTAGAAACATCGATGAGAGAGAGTCATCGATCAGCTGCCTCTTGCACACCCCCTACTGGGGATATGCCCGCAACCAAGGTACATGCCCTTGACCGGAATCGAACCCGGGACCCTTCAGTCCCCAAGCCGACGCTCTATCCATTGAGCCAAACCGGTCCTGGCGAGAATTTTATTTTTTGAGGAGCAGTGACCCTCTGAACATCGGAATGGGAACATATGATCAGATTCAGATGATGCTGGTATCAAAAATCCCTCAATTCTGTTAAGCCTTCAAGAAATAGAAATAGCCAGTAGAAACAGCCCTTCCTCCCTTGCTGAGGAGCCTAGACTCTTCTTACCTATAAAACCTGTAATTGGTTGCCTTGCAGAATCTGCCGATCCTCCTCCAGACTAATTAATTGTCTACACCTCCCATTGCCTCTACTACCCATGGCAGGAGATCCTAGAAGGTAAGAAGACTCTCTCCTTGAACAAACTTTAGGCTCTTCTTTTGCCGAGACCAGTTTGGCTCAATGGATAGAGCGTCGGCTTGGGGACTGAAGGGTCCCGGGTTCGATTCCGGTCAAGGGCATCTACCTTGGTTGCGGGCATATCCCCAGTAGGGGGTGTGCAAGAGGCAGCTGATCAATGACTCTCTCTCATCGATGTTTCTAACTCTCTATCTCTCTCTCTTCCTCTCTGTACAAAATCAATAAAATATATTAAAAAAAAACAAAACAAAACAAAAAAACTTTAGGCTCTTCTGAGCCGTTTTTCCACTAGGCCTGTCATTGGGCATGTCCTTCAAGATCCCAAATGTAACAAGAATTCTGTCAAGTCAGCTTAACTGATAATTGATAAAATTCTTCACCCCAAGTGGTATCTGATTACCTTGGCTTGCCTTCAGCAAGAGTCCTGTTAGACCAATTTAGCAAAAATTACCCTACCTTCTCTCTTAGTAACTTCTCATCCACTGACCCCCTTCCCAATCTGGCTCCTTAGCTAAAAATACTCACTTTTAGAAATCATCTCATGAACTCTGCAAGATAGGCGTTATTCCCATCTGGCTCCAGCTACATAATCTGCAGAGCCCATTCCAAAAATGCAGGATCTCTTGTTTGCTAAAGAGAAAACCACGGGCCCAAAATGGCATCACTCATGATAAAAAGCCCAATGTATCAGACCTAGATTTAATGCCTGATTTAATTGCAGTTTCAACCTCTCCAAGAAATATAATCTTAATCAACCAGTCTGGACTTCCTGGTTAATCAACAGTAAGGTATTTCTGCCATCCCTATCCCACCCCCACCCCATAGAAAGAAGAGGCAATCTGATTAAAAACCCTGGCCTTTTCCTTTATCCCAAAAGAAGATATGTGGATCTAAAAAGAATTTAAAAATTTTTTCTTTATTGATTAAGGTGTTACATATGTGTCCTTATTTCCCCATTAAAAAGAGTTCTTTCTTTTCTTTTGTTGATAGTTCCCTTGCTCATCCTTCTTCCTACACAAACCTTCCATTTTGTATTGCCCTTCAGGGCATTCTTCTAGTTGCTAGAAGAATCATGAATTGTTTAATAAAGCCAATTAGATCTTCAAATTTACTTGGTTGCATTTTGTAGATTTTTTAAAAAACATGTTCACAAATTATTAATAGTTTCAAATGGTGACAACATGGCATTAAACCAAGCACAGGGTCCTGTGTACACTGTATAAGGTGGCAAGCCCATGAGGCTGGCACTGCTTCCATCTTACATTTAAGAAACAGGTTCATAGAGATCAAGTACTAAACTCCCAAGTTTACTTTATCAAGAGCTGGGAAAATGTCAGAGCCAGAATGCTAACAGATATGTGGAAAAACTCCAAAAAGAATCTGGAGACTGACTAGAAAGAAATGATAAAAGATTTATTGCAAATTTGAAACACAGCTAGGCAGAACCCCCATAAGCGTTCCTTCCAAAGAACAAAGAAAAGCTGAGAGTTCTTAAGTACAACGAGAGGCCTGGTGCACTTAATTCGTGCAAGGGGGAGAGGGGCCCCTTCAGCCCAGCCTGCACACTCTTCAATCTGGGACCCATGGGGGATGTCTGACTACCGGTTTAGGCCCGATCCCGGGATCAGGTCTAAACAGGCTGTCGGACATCCCTCTCATAATCCTGGACCGCTGGCTCCTAATGGCTCACCTGCCTGCCTGCCTGGCCCTCCCTGCTGGCCTGGTTGTAGGCAGTCATCTTGTTAGGGTGTGATGGTCCATTTGCACATTACCTTTTTATTATAATATATAAGACATATATTCTAGAGAATGACAGTATCAGTCCTGCATTCATAGCCCTAGGATTAGCCTAGGATGATTATCAGTCAGATGTTAGGCAGTCTGGATGATGGCTGTCAGACGGATGTCAGGTCCTGGACCCCGAGTCCTTTTCAGGAAGTAATCAGAGGACTGGTTATGTCCAGATACATCTGTCTGGACATGGGACTGGAAAGTTCAAAAGTTTACGTTCCCAGACTAGTTGGAACAAGAATTGAATCGGTTTCTCATGCCTCTCAACCTTCATAATTTTACTTTTAGCAGCTTAAAGTGACTCCATTTTATATATTCCTTATTTTTACTCTTTCCTCAGAGGTTTGACCTCTACTAAACTCTTCCTTAATTAAAGTAGGCCCTTCTCTGTGAGCCTGAATCTAATGAAGATTTCCTAAACTTATTCAACACACAAAACCCTGCAGCCATCCACATTCACTCTAGTTCATCTCTGGACCCCCAGGGCTCACAAGGCGTTTGTCCAATGTCTCAATGTTACATCAAATACTGTGGTGAAGCAGCAAGCTGTTCTGTCTACCTTTAGATTTCTTTTTAATATATTTTATTGATTTTTTTTTTTTTTTTTTTTTTTTTTTTTTACAGAGAGGAAGGGAGAGAGATAGCCAGAAACATCGATGAGAGAGAGTCATTGGATGAGCTGCCTCCTGCACGCCCCCCCCCCCCCCCCACCCAGGTACATGCCCTTTACCGGAATCGAACCCGGGACCCTTCAGTCCGCAGGCTGACGCTCTATCCACTGAGCCAAACCGGTTTCGACCCTTTAGAATTCTTGCTGCACATTTCCTTTAAAAATCCTCTCCTAAAGTCTGGCAGACCTGTCTGCATGTCAATGGAAGTGACACTACATACTGCGGTGACGTTCTAACCGCAACGCCCGAAATGATTCACAGAAAGCATTCCGTGTTCTTTTTTTTTTTAAGCGACTATTATACTGGAACTCACTTAAGCGGAAAAAAACGGAAGCGCCGGCGTCAAGGAGAGACTCTTCAAGGTGAAGGGACAGAAAGAGGAGGTCACGAGCGCAACTCCCACACCACACTCAGAGCGCCAGCCCAGCTCGCGCGCCTGCGCAGAACAAATCCTGTGGCGCAGGAGCCGGACCGGAAGGGCTGGGGCCGGTGGGGCGGGGATAGGGTTGCTAGGAGAACGCGGTGACGTTGCGGCCGCGGCGCTCTTTCTCCCCCAATGGGTGCCGCCTGACTGTAGTGACTGGCTGCGTACGTCACGCTGACGTTGCGCGAAGGACACTCTTCTAAGGGCTCGGAGGACGTTCGGCCTCTGTGAGCCGCTGCGTTTCCGCGGAGCGCGGGTGTGTTCGCCATCTTAAAGGAGTGAGTGTGGCCCGGCCTTCCGCGCGGCAGGTGCGGGCGACGGGGAGCGGGGAGAGGAGCCCCTGGCGGGGGGGGAGGGGGGATGCTTTGGCGGTAGGCCCGGCCGGCTTCCTCTTTTGGGGGAGGCGGCCGTGACCTCCTCAAGGGCGCGGGGGCGGGAAAACGAAGGCCGGGATCGGGGACCCAGGCCGCCGGCGCCCCTTTGCTTCCTCCTCCTCCTCTGACCTCCCGCCCCTCCTCCCCTAGGAAGATGTTCTCGTCTGTGGCGCACCTGGCGCGGGCGAACCCCTTCAACGCGCCCCACCTGCAGCTGGTGTACGATGGCCTCGCGGGCCCCTCCAGCAGCCCCGCCGGGCCCCCGGGCCCGCCCCGCCGCTCCCGCACCCTGGCAGCCGCCGCTGTGGAAGGTGAGCTCGGACCCTGCCCCACCCCGCCCCGCCCGATACGCTCGTATTGCCCCCTCTGGGGTCCTCGGGGCCTGGAGGGCAGGGAAGGACGTGCCCAGGACGGCGGCCCCGGTGCCTGCGGGAGGATGTCAGCCCACTCCGCCTCCCAGGCCCGGAGTCGGGGCCCTGGCCCTCCCTCAAGGGCGGGGGAGGCCTCGGCGCCGCTCGCTCCGTGACCTCCACGTCCTCGGTGGAGCAGAGGCCGAGAGGTCTCGACTGTTAGCTCCTTATCTCCGCTGTTAAGTCCGCTTGGTCAGCAGTGGGTAAAGTCTCCTTCCTGTAACCCCTGGCCACCTGCAGGTCCAACTGTATTATCTGTCCTTTGATTTGGCCTTAATTTTCTTCTTAGAAGTACTCCCTCCTCCGTTAGGCATTTCCGAAGTGTAATCATATTAGTCGGCCCAGGGTAGGTGAGATAACGGGGTTTCTTTTCATAAGACTTGTGGAGGCCTCAGATGGGCCGTAAAGAAAGGACATAATGGACAGGATCCCTTTGGTGTTATTTCTTGGGATTCTTGGGTGGTTAGACCCCCGTTTAAAGGAATTGTGTGTGTTTTCAATCAATTAACATCTGGAGTGGATGTACAGAGAAACCTGAAAACGAAATTGGAACTCCAGCACGGTTACATTGTACCTGTAAGATCCAATGTTTGTTTTTCTTAAATTAGGCAAGTGTTTCTGTTAAGCCTTTTAAGTGTGGGTACAAAACCCTTTTACGAGCATTCCGTCCTTTGATTTTGAAAGTTAAAGCTAACCTCATTTGTGTAGTAAATATATTGGAGTGCAGGAACTTATGTTTCTCTAGTTTTATGGTATAGGAATCCGTAAGTGGGGATGGTACTGGTTAGTGGCTGGGTAAGCCTAGAATTTTGCAAGCTGAGTGCTCCTTCTGAGTTTGATTTGTACTCTGAAGCGTGTTCTTAGCGATTAATGATTTGAAGTTTGGTTTTAATTAATGTAGAAAACTTTTTTTCTCACAGACTCTTCATAATCTTTTAGTGATTATTTTCATTGTGACAGTACATTTCTTGTTACTTGAACTAGGTGGAAACTCATCTTTCAACTTAATTGTAAACAGGCGGCCAGAGCTATTCTGTTGTGACAGTACAATTATTTCACAGGGAAATAGTTCTCTTCGTTCCCATGGCCTTCGTCGTCTGAAGAAATACTTACTTGATTTTTTTTTTTTTTTTCCAATCAGAGGAGTATAGCTGTGACTATGGATCTGGCAGATTCTTTATCCTTTGTGGAATTGGAGGAATTATTAGCTGTGGCACAACACATACAGCATTGGTTCCTCTAGATCTGGTTAAATGCAGAATGCAGGTTTGTTTTGCATGTGGGTCTGAATAAAGCATGGCTAAGTTGTAAGATGTAGTCATCTACTAACAAGCTGTGTGGAAACCTAACTGTCCAGGAGGTAAGTGGAGAGCCAGTCATAACATGAGTTTTATACTAAAATGCATGGTGTGTCTTGTCTTATTACAGAGTACAGTTGTGAATATGGCTCCATGAAGTTTTATGCACTGTGTGGCTTTGGTGGGGTCTTAAGTTGTGGTATCACACACACCGCCGTCGTTCCTCTGGATTTAGTGAAATGCCGTATGCAGGTTTGTATTGGGATAACACTGTTAATAGTTTTCATGTGGGACTTAATTCCAAATAATCTTAAAGGACTTCACAAATGAGAAGAATTTGAATACAGAAGAACTGCTAGAAACCTGAGTAGGAAACCAAATTTGAATATCTTTATTTTAATTAGTGTTTTAAATCCAAGAAATGCCTCTTTTAAAATAAGAATGTGGGCAGATTGTGGGTCTCAGACTCTGGCTATAACTGCTTTTTTGCTGTTGGGCTCAATTCTGGCTAGAGTGCCTCTTCAAGGCCTCCTGGTTCTTTATGTTCCAAATAGTTATTTTATAAGCAGTTACATGTCTGAGTGGGTAATCATTCTTTGTGTATTATGTGAAGTAACTTTACAACTCAAGGGAGACAGTGCTATGTAGATTTAAAAATGTATCTTAATATTAAAATTTTGTGGGTATAGCTTTTTATTTATTCACTTAATAAAGGTTTTTAAATAATTAGAATATCTTGATTAGGATTATTGAAGCAAAAATAATCAAACTTTAAAAATTTATTTGTTCCAAACAGGATTAGAAGTCTACTTACCTAAAAGAGAAAGGAAGTGAAATATTAGCAGGGAGAGGAAGGTGATGTATACCAGCCCTTGTAGTACTGGCAGAAATAGTGAGATAAGATTTCCCCCCCATTTAATTACTAGAATGGATATGAAATATACCTTTTTAAAAACTTTTTATGCATGTCTCGAAATGAGTTGAGGTCAGAAGACAGGTACTCATTATGTTTATGTACCTTTTTAACTTGTATTTACTTTGATTGTATTAAGTTCACAAAACTTTGATGACTTTATAGTGTAATCTACTTAATGGGCTAGCCTGTATTAGCGATATACAGGCAAACAGACAAGACCCTTCAGGAGCAAAAAGATTATGACTTGCTGAAAAGCTCAGGTGGTGGTTAGCATTTTTAGCAATAAAGTATTTTTTATTTAAGGTATGTACATTGTCTTTTTAGACAATGCTATTGCACACTAAATAGACAATAGTATAGTGTAAACAATTCCTATACACTGGGAAACCAAGAAATGTGTGTGGCTTGCTTTATTTGTGGTATTTATTGCAATGGTCTGGAACTAAACCTGCAATATCTCTAAGGCATGCCTGTAGACTTACCAGTTATTTAGACAGTAGTTTTGAAACTAAATCTTTAAAAGTGGCAAAGTTGGGTGGTGAAAACTCGTTTAGAGTCAGTTTTGTTATGTAATTTTGTATTGTAGATATTTTACCCTCTGAACTAACCCTCCAAGACATAAATCTAACGGGGGGGGGGGGGGGGGGGATGTACACCAAGCATGTCAAATTCAGCCACGAGTTTGACATGCTTGATGTACACATTGTTACAAAGATGATTATAGATAATAAGCTGTTACCATATGATGTGCTTGCATTGTTCTACCTTTTGTGTAGTTGCTGAAGTTTATTTTAGAACCAAATGGGAAGAAGAACTAATCAGGAAATTAAATGTTTATGAGAAATGTTAGCTCTTTGGTACATTTTTTTTTTCTTTCTTGTTTTAAATATAGGTAGACCCCCAGAAGTATAAAGGCATATTTAATGGATTCTCAGTTACACTTAAAGAGGATGGTGTTCGTGGTTTGGCTAAAGGATGGGCTCCAACTTTCATTGGCTACTCTATGCAGGGGCTCTGCAAATTTGGCTTTTATGAAGTCTTCAAAGTCTTGTATAGCAACATGCTTGGAGAGGTATGTAAGTTAACTTTGCAATTGAAAGTCCTGAGCTTTTAACTTAGTTTAAAACCAAAAGGAACCTTAGATTTTTGTTTGACCCACCTCATTTTAGAACTGAGGAAATAAATGGTCTCAGAAATGGTAAGCAGCCGAAACCAGTTTGGTTCAGTGGATAGAGTGTCAGCCTGCGGACTGAAAGGTCCCAGGTTCGATTTCAGTCAAGGGCATGTACCTTGGTTGTGTGCATATCCCCAATGGGGGGTGTGCAGGAGGTAGCTGATAGATGTTTCTCTCTCATGATGTTTCTGGCTCTCTATCTCTCTCCCTTCCTCTCTGTAAAAAAACCAATAAAATATTTTTAAAAGAAATGGTAAGCAACATGTTCTGAATTATAAGTCTATTTTAGCAATGAAAAGATGAAAAAAATGTATATCATTATATTTTAGTGTTCTTTATTATACACTGCTGCTTTCCAAAAAGTTGGATTTTGAGTTTATATCAAGAGTTTATTAAGGGAACTTACACATGAAGTATGGATGCCCTCCATACCACATGGCAGGCACTAAGGAGTTATTTAGGAGAGATGGTTGGGAGACTTGCATGTGACCTGCCCCTGATAAAGAGAAAAGGCCTTACATGCTTGCCTTGTGGTAGGGCAACGGAACCCACACACCTGGGGTGTAGGGGACCGGTCCATCAGGCAGTCTCTGCGTGAATTTTCAGGAAGCAATCTCTGTTCTGGATCTAGCATGAGGTTCCAGCAGTGGTCACTCATGGCCCAGTCTCTCCTCCACATGTTCTTTAGTGTAGTTCAGGGATCAGCCATTCTTGGTACCTAGATGTTAAAGCTATTCACATTGCCCTGTGGTTGATGAAGTTAGGAGAGATAAACGTTCAGCTCATATCATGTGTTATCCATGGACAGTATGATAGAGAAACACTTAAAATGTCTGAAATTTAACTGTTTCCTAGAACTGTCCCTTAAAGTAAAATCGAAAACAGCCAATTCACGACCCTCATGTTTTTCAATTAGGAAAACACCTATCTCTGGCGCACATCACTGTATTTGGCCGCCTCTGCCAGTGCTGAATTCTTTGCTGACATTGCCCTGGCTCCTATGGAAGCTGCTAAGGTTCGAATTCAAACCCAACCAGGTTATGCCAACACTCTAAGGGATGCAGCTCCCAAAATGTATAAGGAAGAAGGCTTAAATGCGTAAGTAAACATTTACCTAAGTTTGTAGTATAAGGTACTCATCGGAGGGAACTGCATTTGTTAGCATTAAGCCTATCAGACTTCAAAAAATTTTTGTTTAATGTCCATCCCTTCAACCCCTTTACATAAAACATAAACTCCAAGGGCAAGAATAAATTCATAACATGGTTTGAGCTCTGAATTAAGGATTTTTTCTAAAGTAGGGATGGAGGGACCATTTGTTTAATAGTGACTTGATTTTTGACCTAAACATTAATTTAACTTGTGGGGAAACTATTAGAATTCATGTCATCTGTGTTCACAGTTAAGAATTTGCATATGGTCAGGTCACAACATGCTTCCTTAGATCCACCTTTGTGGGTGCCAATCTTGAATTGAGTTCTACTTGTAAACTTACTGTTTCTTGTAGTTCCAGTCAAGAAACATCCAGCAACTTTCTGGTTGTACAGTCAAAGGTGCTTGAGTCATTGGCATGTGAGAGAAATATACCTGCATGTTAGTCTTCGGTTCTGATACAAATGACATGCAATTGTGCTGTCATTTTTGTATTATCAGAACTTGACTGGTGTGCGGACACTTCTGTTAATGATGGAAATTCTGCTAGATAAATATATGCAACTGAGTAAAATAAGTCCTGTGATTTCCTAGATTCTACAAAGGGGTTGCTCCTCTGTGGATGAGACAGATACCATACACTATGATGAAGTTCGCCTGCTTTGAACGTACTGTTGAAGCATTGTACAAGTTTGTGGTTCCTAAGCCCCGAAGTGAATGTACCAAAGGAGAGCAGCTGGTTGTCACATTTGTGGCAGGTTACATAGGTATGAATTACTTAGATCATGCTTGTCTGAAATGAAAAACAAAGAGTTATTTTCATTACTGACCTCTTTTGTGAAGAAAAAATATTCCATTGCATTTCATATGACCTTCAGGATTCATGGTTTGCATGATTAAGCTTGGGAATACATTGATTTGACTGCTTCTATTTATTTTGTTTAAAACAGATTTAAAAATATAAGAGTTGATCAAAAGCTGAATATAAAAACTTTTGAAAGATTGGGTAGATCACTTTTATAACCTTGGTCAGTCTTACTCTAATTCTGAGTAAAATTTTATTACTTCGTCATGTCAAAATTGTTGGCTGTGATGTGTTGTTAACTGACCCAATTTTGAATCATATTTCTTGACTTTTTCAGCTGGAGTCTTCTGTGCAATTGTTTCTCACCCTGCTGATTCTGTGGTGTCTGTGTTGAATAAAGAGAAGGGTAGCACTGCTACTCAGGTCCTCCAGAGACTTGGATTTAAAGGTAGGATTTTCTTTCTCTAAAGAAAGAATAACACTTGGGTGTATATTCCACTTTTCACTCATATTTCATATTTTAACCAGGTGTGTGGAAGGGACTCTTTGCCCGTATCATCATGATCGGCACTCTGACTGCACTTCAGTGGTTCATCTATGACTCCGTGAAGGTCTACTTCAGGCTCCCACGTCCTCCTCCTCCTGAGATGCCAGAGTCTCTGAAGAAGAAGCTTGGGTTAACTGACTAGATAGATCGATGCACATATGGACTGAATCTGCTTTTGGTCAGTGTTGACAGAAGTGCAAAAGGAACTTTTATATATTTGACAGTCTAGAAAATCGACTCTTCCTGATATAATTACTGTAGTACTCTTGCTTAAGGCACGAGTTTCAAATTTGCTGTTGAAATAAATCCAACTGGTCATGATTTGTCTGTGACTTGATAATTATTTTTATTTATTTATTTTAATTATTTTTTTAACCATTTACTTATTTATTTTTACATATTTTATTGATTTTTTTTTTTTGCCCCCCTCCCTCCCACACATCCCCTCCTTCCCCAGAGTTTTATGTCCATTGGTTGTACTTATATGCATATATACAAGTCCTTCGGTTGATCTATGATAATTATTTTTAAAGATTTAATCCTAAAATGGAAAGAACTAGTATAAAACCTCCAGAGAAAAATGCAAACTAACCACTGTTGGTTCAATCCTCCGATCCCTACTCATAAATTGTCATGTCTCAAGTTTTGTCACTCAAGAGAGTTCTTATATTTTTAGGAAACATCCTAAATTAAAAAAAAATGATTTAATTGTTCAATTTAAATATGGGTAAATGTCATATTTTGAGAAGTTGATTTTGGCATATAATCAAATTTTTGCATTGTGTACTGTGCTCTTTAAAATCCATATGACTAGCTAGCTGGTTTGGCTCAGTGGATAGAGCATTGGCTTGTGGACTGAAGGGTCCTAGGTTCAATTCTGGTCAAAAACACATGCCGGGGTTGTGGGCTTGATTCCCAGTAGGGGACATACAGGAGGCAGCCGATCAATGATTCTAATCACTGACGTTTCTATCTTCCTCTCTGAAATCATAAAAATATTTGCCCTGGCTGGGTAGCTCAGTTGGTTAGAGCATTGTCCAGATAACTCCATGATTGCGGATTCATTCTCCAGTCAGGGCACATATAAGACAGCCAATGAGTGCATAAATAAGTGGACCAACAAGGTGATGTTTCTCTTTTTTTTTTTTTTTTTTTTTTAAATCAATCTTTATTGTTTATATTATTATTTTTTTTTTTTTTTTTTTTTTTAAATATATTTTATTGATTTTTCACAGAGAGGAAGAGAGAGGGATAGAGAGTTAGAAACGTCGATGAGAGAGAATCACCGACCAGCTGCCTCTTGCACACCCCCTACTGGGGATGTGCCTGCAACCAAGGTACATGCCCTTGACCGGAATCGAACCCGGGACCTTTCAGTCCACAGGCTGACGCTCTATCCACTGAGCCAAACCGGTGCCGGCTATTGTTTATATTATTAAAAAAGTTCATTTTTTTCCTTCTCTACCAGGTTCCCACCCCACCCTCTGCCCTTTCCCCACCCCCCATTGTCCTCATCTATAGGTGCACAGTTTATGTTCAGTCTCTTCCTGCACCCACCACTCCCCTTTTCCCCAAGAATCCGCAGTCCCCCACTCTCCTCCCGTGTATCTGATTCTATTATAATCATTAGTTAATATTGTTAATCAGGTTTTTTAATTTCCTTTTTTTTAATTAATAAACTTTTATATTTTTAAGAATAAATTTTAAAATCTAATAATTTTAAACCTTGTTTTTTCTGCCCTGGGGACTGAGAAGCAAACTTGTTTACATGTAAACTTGCCCTTGGGCTATCAAAAGGCGTCATTCAAATGTAAATGAACACATTGTTTAAAGATAGCTGCTGGTTGGAATTGGATTACCTATTCTGGGTGGGAAGGGCATGTCCTCCCCTTTCTCCATTAAAATTAAGGTGTTAGCTTTAAAACCTCTTTTTGGCAAGAGATCTTAAACTTTCAGAACTTTAAATTTTTCAGGTAACAAATCAATTACTTAGCATTTTTTCAAATCAATAATACATCCACATTCCCAAGGATACACTTCAAACAAAAGGCACATCCAAATAGATCAACCAACCTCATCCAGACCCCACACAAGGCACTCACTTTTCAACACCCCAGCACTACAACTCAACACATCCAGATCTAAGCCTTCATCACTTGATTCAGCAGACCCTCAAGTTCCCCCAAAAGTTTCCAGCCATGTCTGAGAAGCAGCCCTGGGGCATGGGCAGGCGAGGAGCCAGCTGTTCCGGCCAGCTGCTCCGAGTCTGGCCTCTCTTGCCCCGGGCCTGGCCTGTATTGCTCTGGGCCCGGCTGCTCCACACCCAGCTGCTCCACACCCAGCTGCTCTGGGCCTGGCAAGCGAGGAGCGAGCTGCTCCCGAAATGGCTGCTCCAGGGCCGGCCTCTCCAGGCCTGGCTGCTCTGGGTCCAGCTGGTCTGGGCTCGGCTGCTGCCGCTCCGTGCTCAGCTGCTCCAGGTCCGGCCGCTGCTGCTTCGGGCCCGGCTGCTGCTGCTCCGGGCCTGGCTGCTCCCGACCCTGCTGCTCTGGGCTGGGCTGCTCCGGGCTCGGCCACTCCGGGCCTGGACACTCCCGGCCTGGCTGCTTCGGGCCTGTCTGCTGCTGCTCCGGGCCTGGTTGCTCCCGACCTGGCTGCTCCGAACCTGGTTGCTCCGGGTCCGGCTGCTTTGGGCCCGGCTGCCGCCACTCCACGCCCAGCTGCTCCAGGCCTGGCTGCTGCTACTCTGGGCCTGGCTGCTCCGGGTCTGGCTGCTCCGGGCCTGGCTGCTGCTGCTCCGGGTCCGGCTGCTCTTGGCCTGGCCGCTGCTGCTCCGGGCCTGGCTGCTCCGGGTCCGGCTGCTCCGGGCCTGGCCGCTGCTGCTCCGGGCCTGGCTGCTCCGGGTCCGGCTGCTCTTGGCCTGGCTGCTGCTGCTCCGGGCCTGGCTGCTCCGGGCCTGGCCGCTGCGGCTCCGGGCCTGGCCGCTGCTGCTCCGGGCCTGGCTGCTCCGGGTCCGGCTGCTCCGGGCCTGGCCGCTGCGGCTCCGGGCCTGGCTGCTCCGGGTCCGGCTGCTCCGGGCCTGGCTGCTGCTGCTCCAGGCCTGGCTGCTCCCGACCCGGCTGTTCCGGGCCCGGCTGCTGCTGCTCCGGATCTGGTTGCTGCTGCTCTGGGCCTGGCAGCTCCTGACCTGGCAGTTCCCGACCTGGCTGCTCCAGGTACAGCTGCTCCGGGTCTGGCTGCTGCTGCTCTGGGCCTGGCAGCTCCCAACCTGGCTGCTCCGGGTCCGGCTGCTCTGGACCTGGCTGCTGCTGCTCCGGGCCTGTTTTGCTAAATTATGCATATGTAGTAACATATAAAATAAAATTGGACTGGAAAAGAAGTAACAGCTTAAATCTCCATTTTTATGAAAACTTCATGCAGTGTTTTGATCATATTTTAAAGTGAGTTTAACATTTCCATGATAATTTTTTTTGGGATAAAGTGTCCATATGTTCATGATGTTTGGTGCATGACAGTCTTACTGCTAAATTAGAGTTATACACTGTTTCTTTAGCATAAGGTTATATAAGTGTTCATATAATTTTTTATCATTTATGAGATAAATCACAAAATAGTTGTTAAAAATATCAGATACCACATGGTTAAAGAACAAACTGATTCCAAACTTCGAGGAGTCTGTAGCTCAAAAGTGCTATGCCTCTACTGAAATAATAATGTGGTTGCTTGCCGAAACCAGTTTGGCTCCGTGGATAGAGCATCGGCCTGCAGACTGAAAGGTCCCAGGTTCGATTCTGGTCAAGTGCATGTACCTTGGTTGCAGACACATCCCCAGTAGGGGGTGTGCAAGAGGCAACTGAATGATTCTCTCTCATCGATGTTTTTAACTATCCCTCTCTCTTCCTCTCTGTAAAAAATTAAAAATAAAATAAAATTGGGTTACATATATTGCATTATATGTTAAAAAAAATAATATGGTAGCTTAGTAAGTCAGCTTCTCCTCTAACAATTCTTTTTTTTTTTTTTTTAATATATTTTATTGATTTTACACAGAGAGGAATTGAGAGGGACAGAGAGTTAGAAACATCGATGAGAGAGAAACACCGACCAGTTGCCTCTTGCACACCCCCCACTGGTGATGTGCCCGCAACCAAGGTACATGCCCTTGACCGGAATCGAACCCGGGACCTTTCAGTCCACAGGCCGACGCTGTATCCACTGAGCCAAACCAGTCCTGGCACCTCCTCTAACAATTCTTACCGCAGATATTACTGAATCATTTTTCTCCTAAAAGGCATCCCTGCCTTCACATTTTTAGCAATGGTCATAGGAGTTCATAAGGTATTCCCTTCACTAAAGAGTTTATGAAGCTTTGGGTTATTACAATGTGACGAGTTACCTGGAAAGCAACCATTTGAAAGTTTTCATGAGCTTCTATAGACTAATGTGCTATGCATGCAACAGTCAATAAATGCTGGCTGATGAATGAAAAGACAAGACATACTATAATTCTTACCTAATACTGTTATGTAATGTATAAGTCTGCTGGCTTTCTTTGGGGAATGTGGTATATGTGAGATTGGAAAATGGAGGATAATTCATGTGAAGGACAATATCATTTCAAAACCCATGAATCAACCCCAAGATTGATTCATGGGTCTTGAATTGATACAAGATTAATACAACTTAATCTTGTATTAAGCAAGATTAAAACTTAAAACATCATTAACATGAAAATATGATGTGACCCATTTTTACTTAGAGATAAACTGATTTACTGATATTATTGACAATTGATGAAACTTTCACTGATAGTGCGGGGAATTTTCACAGCTGAGGATGACACCCTCATAAGAGACCATATATATTATTGAAATAAATAAATAAATTTACATTGTCTTCTGGTGGGGAACAGATGAAGTTTTTCATCCTGTATTTGCCATTGAAGCTATCTGACTTGAAGACAAAATAATGACCATAAGCTTAGTGATATTCAGATTTTAGAGTCCTCAGCATGGCTATCAAATAACTGACAGATTTGTGAGTCATTATTTCAATGAGTAGAACTAGCACCAAATAAGATGAATGCCTTGTTAGAAACAAATATTCTTCATAAATGAATTTTCAGATAAATTTGTATTTTTTAGT